TTGCCCGGGGGCCCCATGAGTTGTCAGTCCGCCCCTGCCCAAAACACATTCTTCTACTCCTCCTGAGCATAGGCATACCACACGGGCATTCCGTTTTTTTTTCTTCAGTTCAATCACGTTTTTTCAAGGAAAAAATAGATGAATTTACATCCATTTTTTCACTCATTTACATCCGTTTTTCATCCGTTTTTAGTCATCAGCTGTCAGCGGAGTTACCTACTGACAGCTGAATGTAAAAAAAAAAATTGCTTCCAATTAAAAAATATTTTTTAAAAATTGCGTAGGTTCCCCCCTCCATCCATACTAAGCCCTTTGTATCTGGTATAGATTTTGAGGGGAACACCCATGCCAAAATTAAAAAAAAAAAAGCCCCCCCCCCAAATCGTGATCCTTATCCAAGCATGAAGCACAGCAGGTTAGGAAAAGGGGGGGGGGGCGAGCGAGCGCGAGAGCCCCCCTTCCTGAACCATACCAGGCTTATGCCATCAACATGGGGGGGGTGCTTTGGGGTGGGGGGCTCCCTGGGCTGTGGTTGTGGGGGTCTGCGGGAGGGGGGTTTATCAGAACCTGGAATCCCCCTTTAGCAAGGGGGCCCCCAGATCCTGCTCCCCCTATGTGAATGAGTATGGGGTATATGGTACCCCTGCCTATTCACAAAAAAGTGTAGTGTGAAAAAAGGCAGGAGACATTCTTTGACAAGTCCTTTATTAAAAGAGGGAAAATAAAAGAATGCCTCCCAAAGTAGTTCCAACTTCAATCACGATACCCGCCGCCGCCCCGAAAAAAGGAAAGGGCTCCTCACCCGATGTTGGCTCCTGCCGTCTGACTGCTCCAATGGCTAGACAGTTCTTAAATATGTAGGGAGCGGGACCATCATGTATGTGCCCCCGCCCCCGTGTGACATCATTGACCCAGCATGCCCTATTTGACACAGCGGCGGGAACACATGTGTGATGTCACTGGGTGACCCCGCCCCTCACATATTTAAGAACTGTAAAGCCATCGGAGCAGTCAGATGGTGGGAGCCAGTGTCGGGTGAGGAGCCTTTGTTTGTTTTTTCCTATGTTCAGGTGGCGGCAGCGGGCATCGTGATTGACGTTGGATCTACTTCTAATTCTTTTATTTTTCTTCTTTTAATAAAAGACTTGTCAAAGAATGTCTCCTGTCATTTTTATTGTGGTGACTGGACATCTTTTGTATTTTTTAACAAGGACTGTTTACTACATTGTTGAGAGGAAACAGGTGTGATTGGTCACAGCGATCACATGGTACATGGCCAGTTTGACTAAGCCCAAAGGAAACAGCGTTCACAAGGTGCGCCACTGCATGTTCTAGAGAGCATGCACACGCAGAGGGAGTAAGAGGCTATACACATATACAGTATATATATATATATATATATATATATATATATATATACACACACTATATTGCCTAAAGTATTGGAATGCCTACATTTAAATGCATTATACGCACATGAACTTTAATGGCATCCCAGTCTTAGTCCGTAGAGTTCAATATTGGTCCACCCTTTGCAGCTATAACAGCTTCAACTCTCCTGGGAAGTCAAGACTCTGTGCAGGCCAGTGAAGTTCCTCCACCCCAAACTGGCTCCTCCATGTCTTTATGGACCTTGCTTTGTGCACTGGTGAGCAGTCATGTTGGAACAGGAAGGGGCCATTTCCAAACTCTTCCCACAAAGTTGGGAGCATGAAATTGTCCAAAATGTCTTGGTATGCTGAAGCCTTAAGAGTTCCCTTCAGTGGAACTAGGGGGCCAAGCCCAACCCCTGAAAAACAACCCCACACCATAATCCCCCCTCCACTAAACTTTACAGTTGGCACAATTGCAGTCAGGCAAGTACCGTTCTCCTAGCAACCACCAACCCAGACACATCCATCAGATTGTAAGACAGAGAAGCATGATAGGTCACTCCAGAGAACACGTCTCCACTGCTCCAGAGTCCACTGGCGGCGTGCTTTACACCACTGCTTTCGACTCTTTGCATTGCACTTGGTGATGTAAGGCTTGGATGCAGCTGCTCGGCCATGGAAACCCATTCCATGAAGCTCTCTACGCACTTTTGTTGTGCTCATCTGAAGGCCACACCAAGTTTGGAGGTCTTTAGCTATTGACTCTGCAGACAGTTGGCCTACGCACTGTGCGCTTCAGCATGCGCTGACCCCACTCTGGCATTTTACGTTGCTGTTGTTCCCAGTTGCTTCCACTTTGTTATAATCCCACTAACAGTTGACAGTAGAATATACAGTACAAGAGCAAGGAGATTTCACAGGTGGACTTATTGCACAGGTGGCGACCTATCACGGGACCACGCTTGGAGTCACGGAGCTCTTTAGAGAGATCCATCCTTTCACCAATGTTTGTAGAAGCAGTCTGCGTGCCTAGGGGCTTGATTGTATACACCTGTGCCCATGGAGGAGAACACCACAGAACACCTGAATCCAATGATTTGGAGGGGTGTCCCAATACTTTTGTGTGTATGTATATATAGTGTATGTATATAAATATATATATATATATATATATATATATATATATATATATATACACATATCCAGGAAGTCACTGCCCAGCTGTCTACTGGTGAAACTCAAAAAATTTGAATATGGTGCAAAAGTTCATTTATTTCAGTACAGAAACTTAAAAGGTGAAACTAATATATGAGACTCATTACATGCAAAGCAGAAGATAGTTCAAGCCGTGATTTGTCATCATTGTGATGATTATGGCTTACAGCTCATGAAAACCCCAAATCCACAATCTCAGAAAATGAGAATATTGTGAAAAGGTGGAATATTCTTGGCTCAAAGTGTCCCACTCTAATCAGCTAATTAAGCCATAACACCTGCAAAGGGTTCCTGAGCCTTTAAATGGTCTCAGTCTGGTTCAGTAGGAATCACAATCATGGGAAAGACTGCTGACCTGACACCATCACTGACACCCTCCATGAGGAGGGAAAGCCTCAAAAGGTAATTGCAAAAGAAGTTGGATGTTCCCAAAGTGCTGTATCAAAGCACATTAATAGAAAGTTATGTGGAAGGGAAAAGTGTGGAAGAAAAAGGTGCACAAGCAGCAGGGATGACCGCAGCCTGGAGAGGATTGTCAGGAAAAAGCCATTCAAAAGTGTTGGGGACTTTCACAAGGAGTGGACTGAGGCTGGAGTCAGTGCATCAAGAACCACCACACACAGACGGATCCTGGACATGGGCTTCAAATGTCGTATTCCTCTTGTCAAGCCGCTCCTGAACAACAAACAACGTCAGAAGCGTCTTACCTGAGCTAAAGAAAGACAGACCTGGTCTGGTGCTCAGTGGTCCAAAGTCCTCTTTTCTGATGAGAGCAACTTTTGCATCTCATTTGGAAACCAAGGACCCAGAGTATGGAGGAAAAATGGAGATGCACAAGGACGCCGAGTATGGAGGAAGAATGGAGAGGCCCAAGGACCCTGAGTATGGAGGAAGAATGGAGAGGCCCAAGGCAAGGACCCCGAGTATGGAGGATGAATGCAGAGGCACAAGGGCCCTGAGTATGGAGGAAGAATGGAGAGGCCCAAGGACCCCGAGTATGGAGGAAGAATGGAGAGGCCCAAGAACCCAGAGTATGGAGGAAGAATGGAGAGGCCCAAGGACCCAGAGTATGGAGGAAGAATGGAGAGGCCCAAGAACCCAGAGTATGGAGGAAGAATGGAGAGGCCCAAGGACCCCGAGTATGGAGGAAGAATGGAGAGGCCAAAGGACCCCGAGTATGGAGGAAGAATGGAGAGGCCCAAGGACCCAGAGTATGGAGGAAGAATGGAGAGGTACACACTGCAAGATGCTGGAAGTCCAGTGTGAAGTTTCCACAGTCTGTGTTGGTTTGGGGAGCCATGTCATCTGCTGGTGTTGGTCCACTGTGCTTCATTAAGTCCAGGGTCAACGCAGCCATCTACCAGGAGATTTTGGAGCACTTCATGCTTCCTTCCACAGACAAGCTTTATGAGGATGCTGACTTCATTTTCCAGCAGGACTTGGCACCACCCACACTGCCAAAAGCACCAAAACCTGGGATTACTGTGCTTGATTGGCCAGCAAATTCACCTGACCCCCATAGAGAATCTATGGGGCATTGCCAACAGAAAGATGAGAGACATGAGATCAAACAATGCAGAAGAGCTGATGGCCGCTATTGAAGCATCCTGGTCTTCCATAACACCTCAGCAGTGCCACAGGCTGATAGCTTCCATGCCACGCCGCATTGAGGCAGTAATTGCTGCAAAAGGGGCCCAAACCAAGTACTGAGTACATATGCATTCTAATTTTTCGAGTTTCATCTGTATATGCAATGGCTAGGAAGGAGGTGCTTAAATGGGGTTCCAGAGTTTTGTCTGGGATTGATGTATTCTGCTGGGTTCAGCAAATGTCTAATGAATTGAACATTGCTTGGTTTGCTCATTCCTACCCCTGAGGAATAGCTGCATCCTTATATACAGTATCTGTATTTCTGCAATGTGAGATCTACGGCACTCCACCCTCTGACTTCTGATGTGATTTGTTCACTACTTTGCTACTCACTGTTTTCTTGCTGAGGAAGCAAAGCTCTGCCTCTGTCACAATGCAGGACAAAGAGTAGAACGTCAAGAATGGGGAAATGATCTTCTGCAGGGAGACCACAGGCAGTACCAATGACTAGTCCTTTGCTATACTTGCTCTTTTGAAGGTTAAATAATAGTAATCGTAATACTCCAACTTGTATATGCAAAATGTTTTTACTTTGTTTTCAAAACTTTATTACAGGAAGTAATAAATAACGTGGACTCCAAATATATAAGAAATGTTTTTTTTTATTGCATTTTAACAATGACGTACTGTTTTATTTCACTGATTGTGGCCTGCAGTGCTTTATGAAAGTCCTGGTTCTTTAGAGTGTAAATGATGGGGTTTATCAGTGGAGTCACCGATAAGTAGATGAAGGACATCCCTCTATAGATCTGGAAATAATTATTACTCCTCGGCACTACGTACAAAGTAAACATCATGGCAAAATATAGACCCAAGACCACTAGGTGGGAGCTGCAGGTGGAGAAGGCTTTCTTTCTTCCTGTGGAAGACTTTATCTTGAGGATGGCGATGATGATAAAGGTGTACGATACAACAGCAGCTATGAAAGGTGCAGCAGACAGTACAGAGCTGACCACCACGATATGAAACATAAGGTGCTATGTCTGAGCAGGCAAAGAGCATCAGGATGGTGAAGTCACAATGGAAGTGGTTGATAATAACAGAGCCACAAAATTCCACGTGAATTAAGAAATAAATGACCACTGCCACGCTCACAGAGGAAACCAACCAAAACCCAATCACTATATACAGGCACAGTCTATTATGCATGAGAGTGGAATATCTCAGAGGGTGACAAATGGCCAAATATCTGTCATAGGACATCATCACGTATAAAAAAGACTCCACATTTGACACACCTCCCAGTATGTTTAATTGGGTAATACAGCCAAGGTAGGAGATGACCCCTCTTCCTGAGAGTAAGTCATGCAGCATCCGTGGAACCAGATTTGTGGTGTAAAAAAACTGACAAAAGTGAAAATTGCTGATCAGGAAGTACATGGGAAAGTGGAGATGAGGGCTCTTATTCACCAAAAAGATGACCAGGAGGTTCTCAAAGCAGGTAAATATGTAGATGACCAATAAAAGGAGGAAAAGTGGAATTCTGTAGGTTGTGAGGTTTTCAAATCCAACAATCAAAATCTCAAACATGATTGTTTGATTCTGTTGATGGGTCATCTGTGGACGAGATTATCAGAGTTTTATTAATTGCCTCATTATGGCATCAGCTCCGGCACTTGTACATCCCTCATACCCCAGAGCAATGCTCACATTTCTGTTATGGTCCTATGTATAATAACGTTGCAATTACTTACAATACCAAAGTAATACACATATTGTTTTTGCAAGACAAAATCATAAAAAAAAAGATTTTTTTAAAAATGAGTAATGTCTTGCAAAATGTTACATTTTATGAAATCTATAGAACAAACATGTAGCCCACCTTTAACCACTTGCCTCCCAAGCCCTATTCTGGCATTTCTCTCATACATTTAAAATCTGCTCTTTTTTGCTAGAAAATTACTTATAACCTTGAAAAATTATATATTTTTAATCAGAGGCCCTAGAGAATAAAATGGTTAAATTTTTTTATGCCACGTGGTATTTGCGCAGTAGTTTTTTAAACACAATTTTTTTTAGAAACAATTTTAATTCCTAAAAATACAATTAAATAGTTAATTTTTTGATACAATATAAATGATGATGTTATGCCGAGTAAGTAGATACCCGACATGTCACGCTTTAAAATTGCATCCACCCGTGGATGGGCGTCAAACTACGGTACCTAAAAATCTCCATAGGCAATGCTTTAAAAACCTTTACAGGTTGCAAATTTAGAGTTAGAGGAGGTCTGGCACTATTATTTTTTACATCTCTTTTATTGCTATTACAAAGGACATAAACATCCCTGGTGATAGCATGGGTCATGACAGGTCCTTCTTATGGAGAGATCTGGGGATGGTTTGATCAGATGCTTGTTCAAAAAAAATGATATCAGGGTATGTTGCAGGACAAGAAGCAGTTAAAAAAAATGTGCTGTTTTCTACTTGCCACACTCCAGGGAAACCTGATGGCCATACAAGGAAGTCCTGATCACCACACTCCAGAGAAACCAAATGGTCATACAAGGAAGTGCTGATCAATGCACTCTGGGGAAACCTGATGGTCATACAAGGGAGTCCTGATCAATGCACTCTGGGGAAACCTGATGGTCATACAAGGGAGTCCTGATCAATGCACTCTGGGGAAACCTGATGGTCATACAAGGAAGTCCTGATCAATGCCCTCCAGAGAAACCTGATGGTCATACAAGGAAGTCCTGATCAATGCACTCTGGGGAAACCTGATGGGCATACAAGGAAGTCCTGATCAATGCACACTGGGGAAACCCGATGGTCATACAAGGAAGTCCTGATCAATGCACTCTGGGGAAACCTGATGGGCATACAAGGAAGTCCTGATCAATGCACTCTGGGAAAACCTGATGGTCATACAAGGAAGTCCTGATCAATGACCATCTCTGACCATCTCCTGTACCATGTCTGCAGTCTCTGACCATCTCCTGTAATATGTCTGCAGTCTCTGACCATCTCTAATACCATGTCTGAAGTCTCTGACCATCTCCTGTAGAATGTCTGCAATCTCTGCCCATCTCCAATACTATATCTACAGTCTCTGACCATCTCCTGTAGTCTGTCTGCAGTCTCTGACCATCTCCTGTATCATGTCTGCAGTCTCTGAGCATCTCCTGTAGTATGTCTTCAGTCTTTGACCATCTCCTGTAGTATGTCTTCAGTCTCTGACCATCTCCTGCACCAAATCTGCAGTCTCTGACCATCTCCTGTACCATGTCTGCAGTCCCTGACCATCTCCTGCACCATGTCTGCAGTCTCTGGCCATCTCCTGTATCATGTCTGCAGTCTCTGGCTATTTCCTGTATCATGTCTGCAGTCTCTGACTATTTCCTGTATCATGTCTGCAGTCTCTGACTATTCCCTGTATCATGTCTGCAGTCTCTGACCATCTGCTGTAGTATGTCTGCAGTCTCTGACCATCTCCTGTACTGTGTCTGCAGTCTCTGACCATCTCCTGTACCATGTCTGCAGTCTCTGACCATCTCCTGTATTATATCTGCAGTCTCTGACCATCTCTTGTACCATGTCTGCAGTCTCTGATCATCTCTTGTACCATGTCTGCAGTCTCTGATCATCTCTTGTACCATGTCTGCAGTCTCTGACCATCTCCTGTACCATATCTGCAGTCTCTGACCATTTCATGTACCATGTCTGCAGTCTCTGACCCTCTCCTGTATTATATCTGCAGTCTCTGACCATCTCGTGTACCATGTCTGCAGTCTCTTATTAGTGCCCCCCCCCCCAATTTTGACTGTGGTATCTTACATGCCCAACCCCCCGCTCCATATGCTGTTCTTGTTTTCTCCACTGAAAACATCATTTCCCCATAGAAGTGCTCTGTCAGCCATGAGCTTGCTTTAACCCCTTGAATACCGGACATACCTGGTAAAGGGTTCATCATCAGCCATTGCCATATACTGCAGTTTATGTTCCGTGTTTCTACTCAGAGGTTGTACTGCTAATGGCGGGTTAGAGGCATTATTCATGTTATATCAGCTGCTGAACACACAGGACAGCTTCATACACGGCTCAAAAAACTAAAAGGAAGACTTTGTAATCCGAGTCGCATCAAGTCAACTAAACTCCCAGGATATGGATCTGGTCAGGTAAGTAGCAGAGGAGGTTGTTCATCAGTTTCAGCTGCTTTGGTGTTAATGAAATTAACAGGTGCACTAGATGGACGACAATGAGACAACCCCCAAAACAGGAATGGTTTTACAGGTGGAGGCCACTGACATTTTTTCCCTACTCATCTTTTCTGACTGTTTCTCACTCGTTTTTCACTTGGCTCGGGTCAGTGTCACTACTGGTAGGATGAGGCCATACCTGGACCCTACAGAGGTTGAACAGGCAGTCCAGCTCCTCCAGGATGGCACATCAATAAGTGCCATTGCCAGAAGGTTTGCTGTGACTCCCAGCACAGTCTCAAGAGCATGGCGGAGATTCCAGGAGACAGGCAGTTCCTCTAGGAGGGCTGGACAGGGCCATAGAAGGTCCTTAACCCATCAGCAGGACCGGTATCTGCTCCTTTGTGCAAGGAGGAACAGGATGAGCACTGCCAGAGCCCTACAAGATGACCTCCAGCAGGCCACTGGTGTGAACGTCTCTGACCAAACAATTAGAAATAGACTTCATGAGGGTGGCATGAGGGCCCGATGTCCTCTAAAGGGCCCTGTGCTCACTGCCCGGCACCATAGAGCTCGACTGGCATTTGCCATTGAACACCAGAATTGGCAGGACCGACTGGTGCCCTGTGCTTTTCACAGATGAGAGCAGGTTCACCCTGAGCACATGTGACAGATGTGAAAGGGTCTGGAGAAGCCATGGAGAACGTTCTGCTGCCTGTAACATCGTTCAGCATGACCGTTTTGGTGGTGGGTCAGTGATGGTCTGGGGAGGCATATCCATGGAGGGATGCATAGACCTCTACAGGCTAGACAATGGCACCCTGACTGCCATTAGGTATTAGGATGAAAGTCTTGGACCCATTGTCATACCCTACGCTGGTGCAGTGGGTCCTGGGTTCCTATTGGTGCACGACAATGCCTGGCCTCATGTGAAGAGAGTATGCAGGCAATTCCTGCAGGATGAAGGAATTGATACCATTGAATGGCCCCCACGCTCACCTGACATAAATACAATAGAACCCCTCTGGGATATCATGTTTCGGTCCATCCGACGCCGCCAGGTTGCACCTCAGACTGTCCAGGAGCTCAGTGATGCCCTGGTCCAGATCTGGAAGGAAATCCCCCAGGACGTCATCCATCATCTCATCAGGAGCCTCCCCCGACATTCTCAGGCATGCATACAAGCACGTGGGGGCCACACAGACTACTGAGGACCATTCTGAGTTGCTGCAATGAATTTACCGTTAATTGAACACATACTGAGCAGTAAACTTGATTTCACTGCAATTTTTGATCCTGTCTTTCATGGCCTAGCTGTGCTATGTCTGGCCTCAAGAATCTTAAAGAAGTACAGCCCAGGGGCGGACTGACAACTCATGGGGCCCCCGGGCAATAGGGGATCATGGGGCCCCTGTGTCCTTGCCCAAACTCAAAAAAGCCTATGAAAAAGGTACCAGGGGCATCTCATGGGGCCCTTTACTGACCCCGGGCCCTCGGGCAGTGCCTGAGTTTCCAATTGGTCAGTCCGCCCCTGGTACAGCCATTGCTTTTTTGGCTATACTTCTCCTATGGCTCACGGGAGTGCACTCCTGTGACCCATTTTCAGCCCGACAGCGGAGTAAAGCCTGTTGTCGGCTGACATGACAGATCCGATCCAGGCTCTAAAAGGATTCTGATTATATGGTCGGGATTCACCCAGAAGCTTGGATGACAGATGGTTTAGCCTCTTGTTGTGCCGCAGGGGACAGATGCAGCATCAGATCAATCATGCATCCACCTGGGAGAGTATCATGTTATTTGTTTGTTTTTTACCAAAACCCACAATTTTCTTTTATTCCTGAAGCAGCCAAAATTATCTGTTTAAAATGAGGGCTTTCTGTTCCCCTCAGCCTCCTCCAAATCTCTGAATTCCTTTATTGTGGCTGTTGTGATCTGACTTCTTGTTAGTGGGTGGCTACGTTCATTCTCCATGGTCCCACTCTATGTAGGAATGTGGTCACCTTTTCTTGCTCACTCCCGGGATGGACTATAGACTATGGACAATAGGACACTGGGACTATAGACTATGGACAATAGGGCTATGGGGCAATGGGACATTTGGGACTATAGACTATGGACAATAGGGCTATGAGGCAATGGGACATTTGGGACTATAGACTATAGACAATAGGACTATAGGGCAATGGGACATTTGAGACTATAGACTATGGACAATAGGACATTTGGACAATAGGACACTGGAACTATAGACTATGGACAATAGGACTGTGGGGCAATGGTACATTTGGGACTATGGACAAGAGGACTATGGGGCAATGGTACATTTGGAACTATAGACTATGGACAATAGGACTATTGGATATTGGGACAATGGACAAGAGGACTTTGG